GCTCATCACAATAATATGTATGCACATATGATGGTGTGTGTGGGTGCACTTTGTATTAATATAATTGTGGCTGTAGATGATTTTTACATGTGGCTGTACTTTGTATTATCAATAAGGTGTCTGCACATATTACAATGTGTTGACTTATACCGTTTTATTGAATTAGTATGCATACCTATGTTAAGGTATGTGGAGGTATTTTCTTTTTGAAATGCTGCATACACGAATGTTTGTGTGTACGGATAAATTTTCACATTAAAGACATAACATCTACACATAATTTGGTAAATGTAAGCTTATTTTACATCACAAATGTGTTTGCTCAGTTGTTGGCTTGTGTGAAAGTATTTTTTGCATTGACATCCATACACAATTGATAGTTTGGACGTATATTTGTATTGCTGAAGATGTGTTGGCATGGGCGTGTATATCGTTATATTATTAAGTATGGTCTTTATACCAATGTTGAAGTGGATGATTGTACCTATGTATTATTGCTTTGGTATTTATATATAATACGATGGTTGTTTATCTCTCTCTGTTGGTGACGGGTCACTTTTGACTCGGTCTTTGTAGCCCGCCGGCAGGGCTGGCTTTTGGGCTATGTCAGTAGCCCAAATACCTTTTCTTGGCAGAATATATATATATATTTTGCTCGAGTATTATGTCTTCTTTTGTCTTGAGGAAAGTCTTGGGACGCTACATTGGTGGTAGCGGAAAGCAAACCTGATCCCAAAGGTTTTGTAGCCTGATTTTCACTGCTGCGTGATAAACTTCAGCGGAGCGGAAGAAGTACATATGCTACGGATGGGAGAATGGTGATGACTTCAAACAGAAGGGCTGAAATTGACGTCTACTTTCAGCATCCACCCCAGTGCCGTGTTCTGCAGGAAAGATATTAACAGCTGAAGCAATACTAGGCGTGAACCATCTGAGAGCTTCGTTACAGACTTCCCCTACCGCACCTGCGTAGAGCTGTTAATGAAGTGAATTCTCGGTACCTCCTCCATTTCTTTACTAGCTGAATAGAGCATAGACAGGTATGGCTGCGCAGCCCTGAAGTGGGAACAACGTGGCAAGGAGAAACAGACGCGCAACCCATCCTCCCACTGACCTGTATTGCATCCCATCACTCCTTACACAAATCTGCTTTTAGGCCAGCACAATGCCCCGTTCCTGACTCCGGTTCCCAAACTGAACTAAACTCAATCTCCGGTTAAATTAACAGGGGGGATCAGTGACGTTGCGTTAAGTATCTCCTCAGTTGCGTAGAAATTTGGTGACTGGCACGGCCGGATCGCAGATGTTTCTTTACACCACCGGTTACGTTGTAATGGCTGATGCAGGAGGTTGACCAAGGGGCGCGCCGGAGACGGCACTAAAAAGAGGAGAGAGATTGTGTAATGTGATGGTTGTTTATCTCTCGGTTTTGGTGGCAGGCCACTTCTGGCTCAGTCTTTGTAGCACGCCGGTCGGGCTGGCCTTCGGAACATGCCAGCGGCCCAAATGCCTTCTCTGTGAAGAATATATATATTCTGCCCGAATATTATGCTTTTCGTCTTCGGGGGAGTATCGGGACGCTACGTACGACCATGCTTCGCGTAACTGAGGTCGGTCTTTATATCTACGTTAATTGTTGTTTTTTATTATTGAACATAACATAATTTGGGAGGTGTGAGTATAAATGTGTATCGTTGTAATTTCATCTATATATAAGTTGGTAGGCGTTATAACAACCTTCATTACAAATATTAGTTAATGCAACGTAAGGCTATGAAAGGAAGAATGTCTGTATGATCAGAATCTCTGTGATGTTGCAGACAGATAAATTTGAGAAAGGAAATTTGGCAGCCCTCACACAGGCGTTGGACAAGACTTAAATGGAATGGATTCACCGACCGTTGGAAAGAAACGGTTCCGCATCTCTACGAATAACTGGGGACCATGAAAAGGCGATATTTCCAAAAGCTTTGGATAGCAATTCAGTATTTTATGTTTGAAAAACCGGAATAAGGATATCAAACACGGGTGTTGATACTAGTCTCCCTAGTAAAATCAAATGCTTGTAATCGCCTAAATATTTGTCTTCGCAATGGTGCTTAAGGATGCGATGGTTCTAAATGTTGCGCACTCTATGAGGCCAGAAGTATGGTATCAGGTCCACTGTACTTCTTCCCTGAGTCCAAGTTAATAATGGAAAGGGAGAACTGTAATTCATTATACCTAGCCGGACACAGTTTAGTGTAATACAATGGTGGTTTATCCCTCGGTATTGATGAGGCACCACATTTGTACTCTGAATTAGCCTTCTTGTACCTCGCTGGTTATGCTGGCCTTTAAGCCATGCCAGTAGCCCAGACACCTTCTCCGTGTTGAATACACACTTTCTGCCTAAGCATTGTCTCTTCTTCCGTCTTCAGGGAAAGACCGCAAGCTATTTCTAAGCATAGAATCTGAGTCTGCAGATCCTGTCAAAGTGTACCTGGTTACAGTCTAGTAGAGAAAGTCAGATTATGCATCCTATTTTAGGACCAAAGTTAGTACACCGGTACTCAGAATTGAGGGTTAAGGGTATCGTCACCAATGAAAGAATTATGATCATGTTCCTGATTTGGCTTAAAATCTACCCAACCTTTGTTAGACTACAAGAAAAGAATAAACATATATATGTTTTGAGGCATTATTGCTTAAGCAAAAGCAAATTTTACAAGTTTTTTTAAATGTAGATTGATGATTTTACCTAAGATGTTTTTTAAATACATTTTAGATAATCAGTGTTCAGTAATCTGTTCTATATTTGTAAGCCTGCACTTCGCACAAGTTTGTTTGAGTTAATTCGAACGGGGCGGCTTATTCCGGGTGGTGTTTCTGTTGATGCGCGGTCGTTTGTCCATTGCTATGCAGCTAACTGGTGGGAAGTTGTATTCCGCGCCAATCGTAAGAGGTTTTATAATCCATCGATCCTGACAAGTGCCCTTGGAGGTTAAAATCACTGAAGTCAGCTTGTCAATGGAACCAACTACTGCCTCAATGCGCCGCTAAAGATGCTTGAAGTAGCGGATCTTGTGGATTAAACACGGTAATAGGTTTTGACATCCTCGAATCCACAAGGTCCTGCCTTACCACGGAGGCGAAATAAGGGTGTATAGGAGCAAGATTGCTGCCGCTTGGGGTGCTCAAACTCAATTCTATTCTCTAAAACCCTTCTATCTTTACATTTTTCTGTCTAATGTTGGTCAACAGTCCAGTTTTCCTGTTTTTATTGTTTAGGTGCTCGAAATCCGATGAAACGACTTGTTCTTTCATTGGCTTTTACTGGCTAGCAATAATTTTTTTTTAGACTGTCTTTCTCTATTTTTCCCTAAACATTGATGTTATTTAATTGCTTTATCAATTTCATAAGTTATGCTTGCTGCTTGGTTGTTAGGCACAAACATGGCTGGTAAGTCATGCTAGTGTAGTACTTGAACTGTACCCACTATCGTCAATTAGCCAAATGTGGCAATTTATTGTTTCGTTTAACTATGTGTCGAAATACACAGACACTTGGGTCTACGAAAATTGTACTTTTTCTCTGCAGCACGGCCTTCGCGTCATGCTTATAACCTCCAGGAGGGTTAACGCGGTTCCGTAGGGGTTAAGCTTTGCGTTCACTTCTAAGTTCTTACCGTTTACCCACTTAGGAGCTGCTCAGCTATACCTATCTGGGTCTCGCCTAGCTAGTAGAGAAGTGGCGGAGGTATCGCGAGTCCACACAGTTGATA